CACACACACACACACACACACACACACACACACACACACACACACACACACCACTGACCGAACTGCACAAAGGGATAAATAATATGGTTGAGCATGCAAAATGCGCGAGCTGGCAGTTTCTAGTACAACTTATTGCCGAGAGTTACTCTAAATATCCAAGGAGCTAAGGAGGCAAGTACCGATCCTTTGCTATGAAATGCCAATAAGTGATAAGCCAATACTATCTCTCTCTTTTTTAATGCATGGAGTTGTTATGATGATCCAGCAAGTACGGAACTTTCAGAATGGATGGATTCCTGTAAAAAAAAAAAAACAGAGAAGAATGGAAGCACAGCAGAACGGGCCTTTTTTTTCTCTTTTACTCTCGTGGCCCATCACAAATCCGGTAGTTTCGACACCTTTAGCGGTATGGCGGCAGAACAGGTTCAAAATGGGTAACTACCAGAAAAATTGGTAGTAGACTTAGGCAGCCCTGGACCAGTGACATAAAGACTGGCGAGTGACACAAAGACTGTCCACTGACATAAAGACAGACCAGTGACCCAAAGACTGGTGACCCAAAGACTGACCACTGACACAAAGAAAGACTGACCACTGACACAAAGACTGACCACTGACAACAAGACAGACCTATGACATAAAGACTGACCATTAACCCAAAGACTGAAACAAAGACTGACCCAAAGACTGACCACTGACACAAAGACTGGCCACTGACACAAAGACTGGCAAGAGACACAAAGACTGACCATTGACCCAAAGACTGAGTACATATCTGGCACACACCCACCTGCACAACCTCCAGCAATGTGTTCGCGATGAGAGACGGCAGCACGCGGTCCATGGGCTGGATATTGATGTGAAACTCTCCGTCCTTGGCCTCGCTCAGCCCGTTGGTGACGGTGAAGGTGAAGGAATCCTCCACGATATCGTTCTTGGTCAGGTGGTTGTAGACCACGCGCTGAGACGCGATGTCAAGCTGGGTGAAGCTGCTGATGGGCACGAAGCGTCTCTTGATGTGCTCGATCTGACCCAGGCGGGGCGGCCTTATCACGGCAAAGACGATCTCCGCTCCCCTGGTGCTCTCATCGCTGGCGCTCAGGTTGTTGGTGCTGATGGCCACCCGCTCCCCCTCGCGCACCACCATGCCTTTGTTCAGCACCGCGATGTTGGCTTTCTTAGAGTTGCGAATGCTGAAAGCAGAAAAGACTAGATTACAAAGGACAGCAAGCATTGAGCGATGATTCTTCATCTACAACACATATTTTCATGTCTATAGAGGCCTGTGTCTGGTCTGCCACCAACCAGCATATATTTTAGTAATCAGCAACAAATAAAGTTTATAATCTGGCTTAAAAATTCTTAATATGGCCATGAAATGTTTTTTTCCCTGGGATGTCAAGCAAGTATAAAAGTATCGCAAACAAAGGCATGATGAAAAAAGCAGTCATGACTGGCTCGTCACGGGTCGAGTTATAAAAAAAGGGAAGATAAGGGAGCTATTGAATGAAGTTTCAAACAATGATCCATTTTTTAAAAATATCTCTCACTGGCCTGGGCTGTCACACATAGCACAAAAAGACAGGAATTTGCTACCACCTTTTCAGCCTAATATTTCCCTTACTCGTGGATTCGGTACTTCTAAAGTCTAATGTTTTTCTGAAGGCAAAGTGGCACTGAGCAACAACAAGGGCTCAAGGCAAAGATAATGCTAAAGTCATACATCTGCACATGACATAGTGACGTAGACTGTCCAGGTCTGGTAGTTTTTCTTCCCTTATACTATAGGCCTACTGGGAAGGTTGGCAGAGAATTTGAAGAGCCGAAATTTTTAAAATTGGAATCCGGGGTATTACCATTGTACTTAAGTAAAACTGAATAAAAATCGTCCCAATTCCACCAAATTCGTAATGATGTGCAGACCCACTACGTGACAGTTCACAAAAAGCAGAGTTCTTAGATCAGCCCTGATCGTTACAAAAACATTTGACCTCTCACCGAATCTCAAAAGTTTCCTCATGTCTCTTGTGAGTTCCATCTGTGAGCACAAAGACAAAGCGGTCAGTCTCGGTGCTTCCCATGCTGGTGGTGTGGATGTAGCGTATGTGGTTCAAATCCACATCTGTCTGGGTGAAGTTCTCCCCTAGTGCCAGGTCTCGGCAGTCTAGCTCTAACGACTGCGACTGTGGGTCGGGGCAATACTGGAGAAAGCCTTTAGCAGGAATCTGAGAAACCAAGAACGAAACGTTTGAGAGACAAAGTGCAAAAATAAAAAGACAGAACATTGGGTACTTGGAAATGGGGACTTAACCATTTCTCATATAAGAGGGAAAAAAACAAACAAACAACAACCCTTCCCAGAAAAAAAATAATACAATAAAAATAAACAAACAACAAAAAACAATAAT